CCTCACAGGAAGTAACCACTGGTGCAGGAAGCCCCAGGCTCCTGTCGACCACGCCAACTGCCGGCTGTTTGAAAGCCCTGCCTCAGTCTCTGAGCCCCGTGCAGGGCCCCTGGCTGCAGAGGCAGGAAGTCTCCTGGGAGCTCAGGTTCCACTGTCATAGCCAGAGCTGTCACCTGTGTCAGTGGGAGCCGCTGGTGCCAACCGTGGGCCCCCCAGTCCCTGCCACCTCTTGAGATGGGCCCGGTTGGAGTAAAAGAATTGAGAGACAGGAGCGGTGGCACATGCGTGTCATCCCAGCACTCTGGGAGGCTGAGGCAGGAAGATCACAAGTTTGAGCCCAGCCTGGGCAACTTAGTGACTTAGTGAGACCCTGTCTCAAATTTTTTTTTTATTAGCACATGTTTGCAGTAGACAGTGACTGCATGCATCTCGGGAGCTGGTTCTTGTGGTAGCACGCCTGCGTTGCCTTCCACCCCTCCCCCTGCCCTCCTCCACCTCCAGACCACCCCCCACCTGCAAAAGATCTGTCTCCCTGTTTCCATGGTTCACCATTTATTTTGCTCTTTAATTTATTGATGCTTTGGGCTTCTCATATAAAATCAATCATGTGGGGACCAGGGATGTAGCTCAGCGGCACAGTGCCTGCCTGGCAAGTGCAAGGTCCTGAGTTCAACTCCTGGTACCAAAAAAAAAAAAAAAATCAACGATGTGCCATTTAAGCCTGTGTGTCTGATTCATTTCACTTTAACATTATGGTCTCCAGGTGTATCCATCTCCTTGCAGATGCCTGAAGCTTATCCTTCTTTACGGCTGAGTAGGGCTCCACTGTGTGTCCATACCACACTTTCTTTCACTATTCATCTACTGATGCAAATGTAGGCTGCTTCCAAGATTTAGGTATTATTTTTTAAAAATTTAAGGGCTGGGGAGCCAGGTGCGGTGGCACACACCGGTAAGACCAGCACTCTGGGAAACTGAGGCAGGAGGGTCACAAGTTCTAGCCTGACTTTGAAATAAATAAATAAATAAATTTTAAAGATAGAAGAATCCAGGAAGGCCACGGTCACACCAGTAAGTGCCTGCTCTGTGGTATCGGAACACCTTCCCAAAGGTCGCCCTGGGGCCCAGCTTGGACCGTGTGTCTCTGCCCAGCGTCCCTCACATCACCCACGTTGACTGGTGCTGCCAGCCACAGTGCAGGGCAGGAGTGGGGACGTGGGGACGGCTCAGTGCATCGTGAGCCATCAGCAGGGCAGAGGCCTGGCACCACGGGCCACGGGGCGGCCCTGGGGGTGAGATGAACCCCCGACGGGCCCGCCGACACCAGCGCTCTGGCGGGGACAAACTGGGAAACCGAGTAGGAGCACCGTCGCCAGGGCTGGGAAGGGGCCGGGCGCTGCTGGACAAGTATGAGGTTTTAGACTTGCAAGGTGGACCACAACATGTGAATAGTTTTAGGGGAAAGGTCCCGGGAGGACCCAGGACTCGGCACTGGGCTGTATCCACAGCCCCTTCTACTTGTTGAGGCAGGGTCTCGAGAAACTGCCAAGTCGCCCAGGCTCGGCTCAGACTGGGGCGGGGCTGACAGGTGTGCGCCTGCACACCCAGCCTCACGCTCTCAATGGGCGATTGGGTGGCGTGTGAATTATATCCCAGTAATGCTGTGAAAAAAATCTTTGCAACATTCACCTGACCACGTGACTGGAACTTGGTATGTATTTATTTCCTGGGGAAGCTGAGGATGTTAATAATAACCAAGCCAGGCCTCAGTCACCAGGATGCGGCAGATGAGTTCAGCTATCACCCTTGAAGGAAGGCATGCCTGGGGCGGGACGTGGTGGCGTGCATCCGTCACCCTCGCCTGCACTCAGTAGGCTGAGGCAGGAGGATCACTGCAAGTTCAATGTCCAGCCTGAGCTACATAGTGAGACCTTGCTGCAACTAAAAAAAGTTTTTTTAAAAAAAGCATCTCTGGTCCCAGAGATGCCCCTGGTCTCCCATGTGCACATGTGACACGAAGCACGCCTGCCCCGTCTTTGCCACCAGGAAGAGCAGCGGGGGTGGCGTCTGGGCCCAGGATTAGGAAACCCAGGCATCTGAGGTCGGGCGACTCCACCCTGCTCTGCAGGACAAGTGGCAGCCGGGAATAGCACGGGCTTCAGCTCGGTCTTGCGCGCTGTAAACACCCAGCCATGCCGCCCTGCATCTGATGCTAAAAGCCTGATAAAATACGCACCGGGCTTGGGCCTCCAGAGGACCTAATCTCGTCCCTGCATTCCCAGCCGTGCTGTCTCGGGAACAGGAACTGTGCTGGCCTTGGCCAGGACCCGAGTCAGTTTCGGGGGTTACCTCTCTGGACACAGGCAGAAACGGAGTTTATCGGCTCCCACGTTTTCCTCACATGAGAAAGTTTGCAGCGCCAGCTGGGCACGGTGGCACACGCCTGTGATCCCAGGACTCTGGGAGGCTGAGGCAGGAGGCTCACTCAGTCTGGGAAATTTACTAATGACTCAGCGAGACCCTTTCTCAAATAAAACTATACGAGGGCCAGGGAGGTAGCTCACTGCAAAGGCCGTGGGCTCAGACCCAGTACTACGCACACACATGCACCAAGTCTCCAGCACTCGGGCTCGCTCTGGGGGCCTGCCCGGCACTGCCCAGGCACAGAGGTTGCAGCCGGGTGTGTGAAGCCAGCCCAGCTCTGCCACTTCCTAGCCCGGGGAGCCTCAGCAGGTCCCCTGGGGCCTTCCGGGGCCAGCTTCCTCCCCTGAGAACAGAGAGCAGCAGCGGGAGACGTGACCACGGAGGCCAGAGCAGCCGTGGTGCGGACGGCACGCGGCCCTCGGATGCGGCCCTCGCCGTGGCTGGCTGTGCCGTGAGGACGAAGCAGGCGGTTTCGGCTGATGTCATCGGGTGCTTTCATTGACTGCCTGGACTCCAGCCAGCTGGACCGGTCTCTGCGGCCCTGGCCAGTGAGAGGATGACCGTGGGGCAGAGGCAGCCGGAGGCGGCAGAAGTCATCCCGCTGTTTGAGTCGGAGCCCGGGAACCCGTCTCCTCTCTTTTCAGGGCCCCGAGGTTCCCTTGGCGGTGGACCCGACCCTGAGCTCTGTCCCCTGTGAGCCAAGGCAGGGCGGGGGCGGCCCGACGGGGAGGGGCTTTCAAGGAGGCGGTGCTGCGTGTGGGGCCCCAGCAGCTGCCCCCAGAGACGTCTCAGCAGGTGGAAGCCCCCCATCCAGGGTCCCCAGAGGCATCTGCGACAGCTGGCTGTGCCTGGCGTCTCCTGCCCAGTTTGGATTCCAGATTTAACCCACTCAGCCTGGGGCCCGGAGCCGGCCACGAGGCCACCGAATACCGCGCCGAAGCGGCCGCCTCCGCCGGCTCCTGCGCGGTCCGCGGGCTGCAGGTGGTGTGGGGAGACGCGAGCTCCCGACACCGCTTCCTCTGGCTGTTGGTTCACACACACACACACACACACACACACACACACACACACATGTGCACGCGCACGCACACGTACAGCATCGCTCAGGAGCCGACTCCACAACCCCAAGCCAAACCGCGACAGCGGCTGGCACCGTCCAGCAGCCATCTGGGTGGGGGCGGCGAAGCCTGTTATGCAATTTCCTGCCTCGGTGTCTCAATCCGAGGAGGCAGAATGCGGGCGCCACAGGGCTTGTGCGATGGGAGAGCCCAGAGAAGAGGCTGAGTGGGACATCCGCAGTGGGCGCTCGGGTTTCCTGTCCCCAGCAGGGCTACGGAGAGGCCACCACCAGCCCACCTGGGATGAGCCTGCCGCTGCAGGTGACCAGGCAGCCACTTTGAGCCGGGAGTGAGCAGGGCTCTGAGGGCCAGGGTGCTGCTGCAGGAAGGCTTCCAGGAAGTGAGGTGTGGGAAAAGGCATTTCCTGTCTGGGACCCAGGATGCCTGGCATGGGGGGAACCCAGGGCCTTTGCACTGAGCTACATCATCAGCCCTTTTTATTTTTTTAATTTGGAGATAGGGTCTGAGTTGCTAAGTTGCCCAGGCTGGGCTTGAATTTGTGATCTTCCTGCCTCAGCCTCCCAGGGGGCTGGGATTACAAACACGCAGGAGGGCCTTGTTAGCAATACTATCAGTAATAAGGGTCACTGAATGTGTGTCTCACAGACACCCATGAGGCTGAGCACACAGTGTTAAGAACCTGGCTCTGGGGCCAGGGTTCGAATTCTGGCCCTGCCTCTTTCAGTTCTGTGTCCAGGGCAGTGTCTTGAGCCCCACCCTTTCATCTGCCACTTGGACAGCGCCTCCCTCACAGGCTGTCATGTGCACAGAGTTCGTGTCTGGGATCCGTGCAGAGCAGTGAGCTATGCGTGCCAGGCCCCTGTGCACACGAGGTCTGGTCTCCCCAGACACGTACAAGCGGCCTCGCACCAGGCTGGCTCCAGCACCCGCAGGCCCGGGCCGCTGCACACATGAGGGTCCCACCAGGAGCGGCAGCCTGTGTGCCCCTCCATTTGCTGCCAGCTGAGTCCTGTGCCTGAGGCTGTCCAGGTGCCATCCTGAGACAGGCTGCAGGTCCATGGAGGTGACCTGAATTAGGGCCCAGCCTAGATAGTCACCCTTACCATAGTCAGCAAAAAGCCAAGCTCGAATCTGGGGCGGTGGTGTACTCCTGTGATCCCCACACTTAGGAGGCTGAGGCAGGAGGATCGCTGTGAGTTTGTGGCCAGCCTAGACTACATAGTGGGTTCAAGACCAACCCTGTCCTAGCGAGACCCTGTCTCAAAAAAGCATGACCCAAAAAAAGCCAAGCTCTTCCCAAGAGCCAGATACCAGGGGCCCCAGCCAAGGACAATTCTGAGGTCCCCGAGCCGGCTCAAGTGGAGATGGGGCTTCGGAAGACAGGTGTGTTAGCACCCTGGCAGCCCCCAGCCTCACACCCTCCACCCCGAATCCAGCCCCCTCCCCAGCCACCACACCCAGCATGAATCGCCGGGAAACACCAGGTCCTCGCCAGGCCTACTTTAAAATTAATTTTATTTCTTTCGATATTTGTGTTTCATTTGAAATCTTAAAAAAAGGTTCACTGTACATCGTCGAGTCTTGCGCCTCTGGTAAGTGCACTGTCAATTCACAGTAATCTCCGCAGCTGAGGACGGTTCTTATTGCTGGAAGGAGTGAGTGTCCAAGCTGCGCTGGGTGGGGACAGCAGGGAACTGGGGCCCCGGCGGGAAGGCCTGGGCCTGTGCTCCAACACAGGAAGCAGGCCGAGGGGCCGGCCCAGGCTGGCATCCCTGGCCAGACGCCCCGCATCTCTGGGTCTCCCCCACCCCGCCTTTCATGAGGCAGGAGGGGGAGAAAAGGGGTCTGGGGTGAAAGGGGAGCCAGAGCTGGGCAGGGACATGCGGGGGGGGGGGCGGGCCCTGGGCTGTGAAGCGTTTGTTCACACCAAGGAATATGGGTCTGGAGCCGGGCGAGGTGACACACTCTCATTCCAGCACCCAGGAGGCTGAGGCAGGAGGATCGCCATGAGTTCAAGGACAGCCTGGGCTACACAGCAAGTAGTAGATGAAAAAGAAATGTGGCTCTGAGGACCCCCTTCCTGTCCTTCCTGCTCCCTGGCCCCACTTTTAGGGAGATTCCTCAGCGGCGACCCAGCCCAGGGTGGCAGCCCCCTCCCCTTCCTGGCCCTCCCAGTGCCTATCTCATCAGTGCAAGAAAGACCTGAGTGTGGAGAGGGCCTCCTGCTGGGAGGCCAAGTACGGGGTGCTGGGCCCCCCGCTCTCACACGCCAGGCCACGGCCCCTCTGTGCCCCAGAGGGACCTGGCTCTGACATGGGCTCCTGAGCATCCCCGGCCGCCATGGCCGGGCGCAGCGCATTCGGGGGCCATCCCGCACTGGCCCGGGCCCCGAGCCCTCAGCCCCTGGGTCCCCAGCAACAGCCAGGGCCTGGCGCCCGCGACCCCTCAGCACGGACGCCCTACAAGTGGCTCAGGTGCAGCGGAAACGGATTGTGTTCTGGTCTGACGGCGTCTGTGCTTGGTTGTTAGTCTGTGCAGCGCTGGGGGCACAGCTAGGCCTGAGGCAAGCTTGACGGAGTGTGGCTTCAGCGAGTGTCCCCCAGGGCGCCAGGCAGGCGGTGCTAAGAAGCCCGGGGGCTGCTCCAGACCAAGTCCTGGGGGTCCGGAGAGTGGACCCCAGGAGCGGCCACCTGTGGGGCTGTGCCGGCCCAGCCCCCACCCAGCACTGGGCCCGGCCGGAGTTTCCTTCCTGAGGACAGGAAGCAGCAGCGCCTCTGTCAGTCACTGTCCACGCCAGTGACACCGTGGCCTCCCCTTCCACGCCGGGCTCGGGGCCTGTGTGCAGCCTCCCCCAGACAGCCTGGGGGGGCATCCCCTGAGAACGAGCCAGGCGCCCTGGCTTGGCTCCCCGCGATGCCCTAGAGGCGGCGGCCGGGCGCCAGGGCCACCGGATTCAAGTCTTCAAATGCAGCTGGCAAGGGACGTGTGTGCCTTTCTGACCTGGAGGCTCAGACCGGGGCAGTCTTGGCAGTGGGGGCTGGGGGTGGCCCCGGGCCTTTGGGACTGGTGTGCATGGAAAAGGAACAGCCACCCCCTTAGAGGACGGGCACGGGAGCAGGTGGGGACAGAGGAGCACCACTGACCGCTCACAGCGCCCTTGCCACCCCTCAAGCCACCCCAGGCCAGTTAAGGCCGCACAGAAGGGAGAAGCCAAGCAGACGCGCCCTGAGCCCCGCCCCCAGCCCGGGGAGAGGAGGCAGGAGCTCCTAGGCAAGGTCTGCCCGCGCCAGAACTGAAGATCAAACAGCGGTTCAGATGGACGCTCCCTCTGCGCCGCGCCCGACCCCAGGCAGAGGGGCTCGGGCGACACAGCCCTCCAGCCCTCCCGCCGGCTCTGGGAAGATGGAGGGGGCCGGCGGGCACAGGATCCCGCACTCTTTCTCGGATTCCTTTCTTTTTCCTTTAAATCCAGCTTAAGGCAAAAGTTTGGCAAAGCAAGTCTACATAAGGCCGCGTGGCAGAGGACAGGGGACGCAGGGGCCGGCCACCAGCGCACCCACAGCACGCCGGCCAGGGCATCGCTGGGTGTCAGCCCCGCCCTGAACCCCACCGAGAGGAACTGAAAAGAGAAAGCAGGGTTTCGGGGAGTCACCTGCGAGCGAACGACTGCGATGGGGAGGCGAGGGGGGAGACGACAGGGTGCCCCGTCCCCGCGACGAAGCAGGGGTCACGTGGGTGGCCGGGGGGCGGACAGCAGGCACAGTGAGGTCGCCCACCGCAGAGAAGGTAGAATGGTTGTATTTGCTGAACGGCCCGGGAGTGCGTTTGGTTTCGTCCGAGCCGTGGTATTACTCTGAGTCTGACCTAGCGGGCGGCCCGGCGGCCCGGGTGTCACCGGTGCTTGGGCGGGATGACCACCAGCGGAGGCCCGTACTTGGGCCGCCACATGAGGACCTGAGCGTCGTTGGCGTTGGGCTTGACCAGGGCGCTGGGCGGGATGGGCTCGTTCTTGCTGAGGATCTTGGGCTGGTCCTGCGCAATGGGCTCCCGCAGCCGGGCGCGCTGGCCCAGCGGCCGCGTGGGGTTCACGTCGATGCTGAGCTGCATGCGCCAGTGCAGCGTCTGCAGGATGATCATGTCGTCGGTGGACGTGTTGGTGGCCACCAGCCACGTGGTGAAGCTCTGGTCCCGGTAGATGTTGGTCAGCTTGGCCACGTTGCTCTCGCTCACGGGCACGGCCCACGTGACGCTGGGGTAGAAGTTGTCATTCATGCTGATGATGAACTTGGAGTCCCTCTTGGTGGGGCCCACGATGGTGCAGGTCTCCGTGGTGTTGCCGTACCAGGGGTAGTTCACCCCGTCCGAGTCGCTGATCGCCTCGATCTTGCCCTCCTGCAGGTCAGGGAGCTCCCAGCTGGACCTGCGGACACGGAAGTCACTCACGTCACCAACTCGCTCCCTCAGCAGGGCTTCCCTGCGTCCCTGCAGCCAGGGCTTGTCCCAGGCCCTGAGGACAGGATGGACACAAGGACCCGGTCCCCTTTGTCCTCAGGGCTCGCTGCTGTGGAGCGGGGGACAGACAGGAAACAGACGTCGATACCAGTCAGGGAAATCCAGGCACCGTCTCCCTGAGGGCCATGTCCAGCACCAACCCAAACGATAACCCTGGCCAGCGCTCCCTCGGCAGTCCTGAAACCATCAGAGGCCAGGACCAGCTTCCACTAGGATTTGGGGAAGCCCTGCTTGGCTCTCCCCCTGAACAGGATTGTCACTCGGAGGAAGCGCTGGCGGTCACCAGGGGTGACAAACCCAGACACACGCCAGGCACCAGGCCGAATGCAGCTGGCCAGCGTGTGACCTCAGGCCAATGCCTGTCCCTCTGGGCTTCCGTATCCTCACCCAGGAAAAGGGAGCGACTCCAGCCTTTGCTCCTCCAGCCGGGGGCCCAGGGACCTCACCTCTACCATGGTGGGGGGCTGGACTCCCTGGCCCTCACCCAGGTCACCTCAGACACCAGGCAGGCTCCCCAGGTCTGGAGGAGGATGCAGCCGCCCTCGCTGACCCGCTTGTGGAGCAAGAACCGGAGAGAACCCTCCCCCGAGAGGCTCTGCTCCCTCCCGGCCTCAGCGCCGCCTTCTCGGGCTGAGCCGCAGCCATGGGTCCTGGAGAACCCGGCCCCCAGCCACAAGGGCTGGGCAGGCACGGAAAGCCCCCCCCGGCCTCGCCTGCTTCCACCCACTGGGACCCAGGCGGGGCTCGGGAAGCCCAAGTCCCTCGGTGGCTGGGCACCCAGGCAAGGTATCTCGCTCTCTGGGCCTCGGCCCGCCCCATCCACCCTCAGGCTCAGTGCAAGGACTGCGGGCAGGAACTCGCCTGCCCAGGGCCCGGCACAAAGCAAATGCCACCATCAGGAGCCACCGACGCCACTGGCATCAGGGCATAGTGATGATAACAACCCGCAGACGGAGAAGGACCCAGGGACAGGGACCCCTTGCTCCCACCCGGCCGTGGGCTCCTGGCGTCCACCCCAGGATGCAAGGGTCGCAGCGGTACAGGTGCCGGGACCCTCATCCACCCAGCCCCAGCCTGCAGGCAAGGAAGAAAGAAAGCAAAGAGGCGCAGGGCACAGAACCCTCCCCGGGAGCTATAGTATGGCCTTGCTTCCTCCACCCTGTTCTGCCGGGCCTGATGAAACCCAAGCTCAGGACACCCCGGGGTGCTGTCCCTGAAGAGCGGCTTCTCCCAATTCCTGTTCACAGTGTGACTCCATGGAGCCGAAGGAGGAAGCAACCTGAGTGTCTGTGCCAGATGGACGGTATAGACAAGGCCTGTCATCCCAGCACCTGGGAGGCTGAGACAGGAGGGTCACCGTGAGTCGGAGACCAGCTCAAGTCACATGAGCAAGCTCAAGGCTGGCCTGCACTACACAACGAGACCCCGTATCAAACAAAAAGACGAGGCAGGGTCCATCCACACAGTGGGACACTCCTGAGCCTTAAGAGCCAGAAGCCGACACCTGAGACCACACAGATGATTCTGCGCACATGAGGCTGTGCCCGGCACAAAGGACAATACCGTAGGGTTCCGTGCCCGCTGGGCGGCACCCGGCACAATCAGGTTTATAGAGCCCCAAGCAGATGCAGGGGCGGGAGGCACAAGGACCCGCGGGGGGGCAGGACAGGAGCGACAAATGCCCTGGGTACCGGGGGCAGCCAGCCGCGTGGCGGTGTGGCCGCCGTGACCCTGAACCGCACCCTTGACAACGGGCCTTACACAGTCCAGCCCACGCGCCCACAGAAAGCCGTCGGTGGGGCCAGCAGTGAGCACGGCCGTGGGAGGAGGAAGGGGCGGGGCAGGCTCTGCTCATTTCCCGCCACCCCACTCCATTAGCACGGCACCGCCCCCCCCCACCCCGTCACCTCCTGTCCAGTGAGCGCGTCCCGTCCCTCGCAGGGAGCCTGGCGGCACGGCTGCTCAGCCACGTGTTCTGAAAGGGCCACAAAGTGCCAAGGGCCAGGTCCTCTCTGGCACGAGGGTGTCATCTGGCTCTGCCCAAATCTCCCAGGGGCGCAGGCCCTTGTCCCCCGGGCTCTGCCCCCAGCTCCAGGAGGGCCCACCGCTGTCCTCTCCCAACACGGACATTTGTTTGGGAAAGTGCTTTTTGTTTCGTGATTTCTGCAGCACTGAGGGTGGAATCAGGACCCTGTGCACACTAAGCAAGCATTCAAACCCTGAGCTCCACCCCTAGCCTGGAGAAAAATGGTTTGAAACACACAAGGCACCAGCCATGGTAGCACACACCCATAATCCCAGCACCCAGGAGGCTGAGGCAGGAGGATCTCCATAGATTTTGAGGCCAGCCTGGACTACATAGTAAGACTCTCTCAAAACAAGCACAAAAGACAGAAAGGAAACTGGCAAAGGTTCTTAACCCTGGCCCTGGACCCTATGACTTCCAAAGAGCCGAAGCCCTCATTCTCTGACCCCAGCCCCAAGAGCCGAAGCTTTGGCTTGCCGCAGACAGCTACCGTCCCCACAAGCTGGCAGGCACCCCGTGTCTCACGCAGGACCCTCCCTGCTGCGCCTGCGGGGGCAGGGTGACGCTTGTCACCTGCAGCACAGGGGGTGGCCACACATGGGAGCTTCCCAGCCTCGCAGGCTGGAGATGACCCTAGCGCCGGCGGGTCTGCCAGCTCCGTGCCCTCATTTACGTCTCCGGGTCACACACACCCGTGCTGTGGTGACTTCTACCCGGTGGTGTTCATGGGCTGGGCCCTGAGCTCCAGCAAGGGGTGAGCTCAGACCCCGCCCTGCAGGTGCTGGGCCTCCCCACAATGCACCGGGCGACAGCAAGGGTCCCGCCCCGGACGCCACCCGGCCTGCCACCGACGGGTACCAGCTGAGCTCCCAGCGCCCTGCGGGCTCCCAGAGCCCCCAGCAGCATGCTCTGCGGCAGCCAGCACCCTGTGGACTGAGTTCAGATTCACACAGCACATCCCAGCTCCTCAGCCACCTCCCTTCCAGACCCCGTGTGGGCACTGTTCGGGGCATCGCTCCTGGCACCCTCTCCCTCTCTCTGATTTTCTTTTTTTTTTTTTTTTTTTTTTTGTTTTGGTTTTTATCCGATACCGGGAATCGAATTCATGACATCACGCTTGCCAGGCAGGCGCTGTGCCACTGAGCTAAATCCCAGCCCCTTCTCTGATTTTCTTTTCGGTAGTGGAGATTGAGCCCAGGGGCTCTATATCCCCAGCCCTTTTTATTCTTTTGAGACAGGGTCTCATTAAATTGCACAGGCCTGGACTGGCCACCCTCCTGTCTCAGCCTCCCAAGTTGCTGGGATGACAGGTGTGTGCCACTCTGATTGGTTCTACCTGTGTAAGCAAGACAGGCGGCAAAACCTGCAGACACCAGCGGAAGAGAACTCAGACGTGCGGCTCCAACTTTCAGAATCGCAGCTCGGCAACACAGATCTGGGGGTCCTCTCCAGACCCTTCTTGGGTCACCTGTCACGGCCCGGTCTATGTCTGGTGGGGTGTGGGAACCAGCAGGGCAGCAGGCCAGTCCAGTCCTGAACTGGACCTCACCACACTTTTGGGGGCCACGGCATCATGCGGGTTCCATGCCACGGGGCCTCTTCCCACTGCGTCCTGGCACGGGCTCAGGGTGACTGAACGACCGTGCAGTCACTGTGGGCAGCCTCTTCCCCAGACGCAACCCAGGCTCACGACAGCCTGGGCGCCACGGACACTGGTGGCGAGGCTGGAGGACACAGCGACACGCGGGGCCTCCCCTCGGAGCCCCTTAGAGGTGCGAGTGGAGGAGCCCTGTGGGCAGAGCGGGGCTGTCGAGCTCAGGGCAGTGACAGCTGGCCCCATGCCCGCAGGGTAGGACAGGGCAGGTGCCATGGGGTGTGTCACAGAAGAGGCTGACAGAAGCCAGAGGCCAAGTTCAAGGTCACAGCCCTGGAAAACCAGGCGGGGCTCAGCTGCTGCCCACCCAGCCTTGCAGGGACGCTCACCACAGACGTGCACACGCACACAAGTGCCCAGTGTGTGTGTGTGTGTGTGTGTGTGTGTGTGTATGTCACTGGAGGCCCTTGTTGGAAGCTGGGGGCAGGCGGCTACTCCTGGGGTGGGGAGCATCCCCTGGGGGTGACCCCAGCTCACTGGCAGGTGCAGGGCCAGGCAGCGGCCTGGGCTTCGTCCGAGCGAGCACCGCAGGGCTTCTCCAGCCCCTGCGGGCCCCATCTCCTCCCACTAAAGTCGCAGTCCCCAGGGCTCCAACTCCAGAGCCCCCGTCCTGGACGGCAGGGCCAGGAGAGCGGCGTCCGACCTGCCCCGGCCCGCGTTCGAGGATGGCATCTCGTCTTCCCCCATTCACTTTCCCCCCCGAAAACCAACGCTTTTTTCCAAAGCACAACTAAATTTAGCCTCCCCCAAGAAACACCCCTGAGATGACAGCTTGGAGACGCCAGAGACACAGAACTAGATCTAGGCGTGTTTTCTAATAGGCACTGAATACGTCGCTGTAAAATAAAATTTCATGTTAACTTTTTTTTTTTTGCTTGACTGGGGATGGAACGCTGGTCTCACACATGCTAGGCAAGTACTCCCCACAGAGCCGCACCGCAGCTCTGAACCCTGAGTGATTGCACACAAACATCCTGTCACCCCCACAGCACCACCCATGTGGCACTTTGAGGAACGGTTTCAAAGAGCACAGCCAGAGGGCCAGGCTCCCAGGCCAGGCGGGAAGGTAGTGACGCCAACTACATACATTTGTGTGATTCGGAAGAATTTACACCTTCGCAGAACCTGAGGCCCACGAGCCACTCCCACACCAGCCCCGGACCTTGGTTCCCACCTCCCACCCTGCCCAGCCGCCCCACGCGCTCCCCACCCGGCGCGCTCCCAGCCCCAGGGAGGGCTTCTGCTTCCGGGGCACAGGCGCCCTTCGGGCCTGGTCCTCCCCGCCTGACCAGCCCCAGCACTGGGCCAAGCCGAGGAAGCCCCTTCCATTTTAGCGCTGGTTGTAAAATATACTTTTGTTTTCGAGCACGCCTCGGAGAAGTGTGTGAAGTGAAACTTGAAAGCCATCTCCCTGTTCCTCTTCCCCTCCCAAGTTCCTCACACAGCCTGCCGCAGCCCTAACCTAACCTGAACCCTGGCCCTCCCAGGCTGGTGCCGACTCCGGGCTGCTGTCCCACACCTCCTCTTCTGACTTTCTCGTCTGTTTGCTGAGGACGGAACCCAGGGCCCACACGCGCCAGGCGGGCGCACTACCACCCTCCAGCACATTGTCTTTGAACGAAACCCTGTAATGTCCCTATCTTCCATCTACAGGTCCGTCGGTCATTTGGGAGCACTTGAGCCATCAGGCTTTTTGTCATTATAAGCAGCGCCAGAGCTGGGACCTGCACATGCGCGCACCCCCACTTTCTCTCCAGGCTCTCACTATGGAGTCAAGCTGGCTTTGAACCATGTGGTCCAGGCTGGTCCTGACTTCAACTGCTGGGAGGGCGCAGGGCCTGGAAGTGTCAAGGTGCCCGGGGTGTGGGGCACACACGATCTCATCCATTTCCCCAGACCCGACCGGCAGGAAAGGGTGGAGGTCTTTCACGTCCCCTTTCCCCGGCTCCCGGGACAGCCAGCTTGTGTCCAGGTGGACGGACACGGCCGGAGATGGCTCGGCCGGGCTGGGTCCAGGGGAGTTTCTCCGGGGCTGGGCCATCCCACGCCACTTCCTCGGGCCCCAGAGCTTGAATCGGGCCTTCCCTCTCCCACCCAGCCCGCCCTGCCTCTGCCAGGGTGCAGCAGAGGGGGAGGCCGCCTTCCAGTGGCAGAGAGGAAGCCTCGTCCTCAACCGCTCTGCCCGGAGCCCAGGCGCAGGTCCCAGCTGCAGGAAGAGGCCGCATGGCCTGCAGGGACCTTCCCCTAGGGCCTGCTCCCAGAGCCGGGGTACTGAGCACTCCAGAGCAGGTGGCTTCAAGGCTTCACCCTAAAGGGGGGGGCCCTCCCCAGGTCTGGGGCGCCCTCCGCGGCACCCTCCTCCAAGGCAGCTGCGCCTCCCCCAGCCCAGCCTCCCTCCTCGCCACGCCTCAGGGACTTACTACGGGAAGTGAGGCTCTCCCACTATGGAAGGAGACCAAGAACCAGGGGGAGGAGAAGGAAGCAGCCCGGACCGCGTGTATGCGAAGAACAGACGCATGTTTACCAGCCGGGGTGACGCACTGTGGAATAACAACCAATCACCAGTACTTATGGCTCCAGATTATGGTCCTGAGAGCCAGGGAGAAGGGAGTGCTTAGTAAGCACCATGCAAAGCAAGCACCCTCAAGCAGCACCTCGCTGAGCCTTCACAGCCTGCGCAGGAGGGAGGTGCTAGCCTTCCCATTTCACAGGTGGGAACTTCAAGGCTTTAAAAGGTGAAGGGATGGGCTCAGGAGTGTGGATCAGGACCCACCCCTAGGGCTCCCAGGCACAGGGAGGCGGCACTATCAACCCAGAGACACCTCTTCGTTTGTTCGTTGAAACAGGGTCGGGGCTGGGGATTTAGCTCATGGGGCTGGGGATTTAGCTCAGCGGCAAAGCGCCTGCCTGGCAAGCGCAAGGCCGTGAGTTCGGTTCCCGGTACCGGAGAAAAACCAAAAAAAAAAAAAAAGAAACAGGGTCTTGCTCTGTAGCCCAGGCTGGCCTTGAACTTGCTGAGATCTTCCTGCCTCAGCCTCCTGTGTGTTAAGACCACACTCCAGAAAGACCCTTTCTCTTTGAGCCGCTCCCCTCATGCCTAAGTCTGCCCATTGACCAAACGCCAAACCTTGCCTCTCCTGGCCATGGCTGCGGCTATGGGCCAGGTCCCCTGGGGGCTCCAGCACAGGGCAAACTAGGGACAACTGAAGTGTCTCCCACACAGGGGAGAAGCTGTGACTTGTCACTTAGAAGGCTCCGCGCCAGCTGACAGGTGGCGGCTGAGGAATCGCGGGGGACGGCTGTGGAGGCAGGTGTCTCCAACAGTTTGGAGGGGGCTGGCTTTGAGAGCACTGTGGGCTGGGCCTGGAACCATGTAGAACCCTCCTGAGCTGGCACGGAGATGCCATCTTCCACTCTCCCCTGCCCGAGTCCGGGCTTCCAAGGGGTGCTAGCTTTTGCCTTTGATTCCATTTCAAATATTTCAAACCCAGAATGTCATTGTGAAAAGTTCTCCTTCCGGCTTAGAGATTAATTTCAAGCAGGGATAACATTTGGGGGCATTATGGATTTCAGCTAAGTATTTGGAATTAATATTTTGAATCCCAGCTCACTTATGAAGAACAGGAGCTCTAATCTAGCCTTGGCCACCTGGCTGTCCCCTGCCCTGGCCACTGGGGCCCAGTGCCCGGGTTTCTTGTGAATGATGCAAACTGTCTGGCTGAGTCCAGAGGTTCTCAACCAGGGTGATTTGGTTTTTTTCCTCCCAGGGGACATCGGGCCGTATGGGGGGACAGCTGTGGTTGCCACAGCTTTGGGGGTACCCAGCGGGTAGAGGCCAGCGATGCTGTTAGCGTCCCCTGCCGCTCCTGCTGGTCCCCAGTTTGAAGATGCAGCTTCCCGGGCCCAGGGCCGGCAGAGGGTCCTGGGCTCTGCACTCTCATGCCCTGCTTGCCAGGGCTTAGAAACCTGCAAACTGCAGTTACAGGAAGTCCGGGTAGGGACTGCGGAACGGGGAGGTTCTTTTAAAAAGCCCATCTGAAAGCTGCTATTTGAGTTTAGGAAGAAGCCAGCCCTGGGGCTGTGTCCTGGCTTTTGTCCTCCCTCTGTCCCCACAGGGCAGACACAGGCCTGCAGGAACAGGGCTGTTGGGAAGATTCCGTCCATGAGTAATCAGCCTTGAGGGGCCGCCCCCTCTGCCTCTCCCCCAAGGATGGTTACCTGGCCGTGTCTGCTGACCGCGTGCCCTGACCTGCCCCCTGACCCTCTCCCTGCAGCGTCCTGGGGGAGAACGTGCCGAAAGGTGGCCCCGAGGGATGGGGACAAAGGAGCTCCCAGGGCTGACGGAAACCAGGGAGCAGCTCAGAACTGAGCCGCTGAAACCATCTCTGACCGGGACTATTTTTAGACGGTTAAAAGTTAGGGTGCGGGCCCTGGTGAAAGAGGAGGACCTGGGCTGGAGCAGAGCCACCTCGGGGAGCAGCTGACACCTGTCCTCATTCTGCAGTTTCAGTTCAGATCCTCGGGGCTACAAGCCCACGGCTCAGGGCCGCCCACCAGAATGCCAGTGCGATCGTAGCAAGGTCGGGGGCAGCAGCCCCCGTACAAGGGGCTCTGCGAGCTGGGCCCAGCGTGGCCCCAAGGCCAAGGTCACTGGAGGAATTCTCACCTCTAGCCATGGAGAAGCGGCTGGGATGAGCTCCAGTGTACATATTAAGAAACTAAGGCCCAGAGTGGCTACAAAGCTGGCCTGGGGTCACATCCTAGGGAGTGGCACAGCCTGCTCGACCTCAGGGTCTGAGAACTCACTGAAAAAGGAACCAAGTACCTGGTACGGTAAGACCCAAGTCACCCCAGGTCCCTGACTCACAGGCTGCCGGACGGAAATCAAGGAAGAAACCAGGCTCAGCGCGGGACCCCCAGGAAAACTTGTGCTTCTCCACAGCAGCCCCGGATGCCTTTCAAAGCCAGGGGAGGCCTTCGGGCGGAAGGGGTCTTGGGTCCTCCCAGACACGTTCCCTCCCAGGGTGGACACCCAGCCCCCAAGCTGCAGGACCACGGAGGCCACGGGGCTGGAGGGGAGCCGCTGGGTGTCCCCAGGCGCCGCGTGGCCTCTGGGGCATCACGGTGACGGCTGGCTCTGAGTTCTACCGTGTCCCTCCTGCGTCCCCTAGGACCTCAGGGTCACTAATGGCGACAGCACGTGCTCCCGCCCAGCCACTCGCACACTACCAGGTGGCCCGGGGCTCCCCGACCGGTGATAAACTCCAACTCTCCGGCAGCGTCTCAGGCAGCAAAGGCGGGAAGTGAGGTGGCACAGAGTACACACAGAATGAGGGTCTGGGACAGCGTCCACGGCCAGCCACGGGGTCCAATCGGAGGCCACCAGCTCAGAGGCCTGAGAAGACCCACATGTCACCGCCCCAGGTCTAAGGCAGCCATCCAAGTCGCCACTCCCGGGTCTTTCCACATCGACAGGGGCCTGCTCCGGGCTCGGGGACCACGCCAAAGCAAGACCCAGCGTCCCAGGGTCCCCACCCTGTCACCCAGGAACTTCCCAGAGACCAGGCTGCAGGGAAGCAGCCAGTGAGCTCCTCTTCACTGCTCCCAGCCAGGACCCTACAAGACTGACACGGGACACGGACATGTGTCGCCTGCGTAGAGCAGCCCTGGGCCGGGGAGACACACAGCTCTGCACTGCCAAGCAACGCCGCTCTCCAAAGCTCACCACCCTGTCCGACACAAGCCCCGCTGCAACTGCCCAGCGCAGCACTCCGCCGGGCAGGAGGGACAAGTCCCGGAGCCCCCAGCCTGCGAAGAGTCCAGTCTGAGGCCAGCAGAAGGCCCCACATAGCTGCCCCATGGGTCCCTGCAGGGCAAGCCCGGGGGCAGAGCGGCGGCCTTTCTGGTGACCCTGATGGCCCTGATGCTCCCCAGGCAGGCGGCATATACTTTGCTTTTCGAAAGAAACACAGAGAGGAATGGTTCACTAGTGCCCAGGGGTCTTGCAAGTCAGGACACAGGGACCCAGGGGTCAGGGACAATGGCCAGAGAGGCCTCAGGGCCCTGACTGCTCTAGAACAACAAGTAAACCCTCTAGGGAGTCACCTGCCCAAGGAGGGCACGGAGAGAGCCCAGCCCCACCGCTGCCTGAAGTTCCCTGTAACCCACCACCCTCCCTCTCCGGCAGGTCCCGCAAGCTGGGCCGCGGGGTACTCACATGCCCTGCTCCCCGTACTGGTTGTAGAACTCCATGTGGCTGCACGCCTGGATCCAGCCCACGATCCACGTCTCCTTCTTGGGGATGGGCGGCATGACCACTTGGGCCGAGGCCCGGAAGTGAGGCGTCCGGTAGCGGAGCACCACGCTGGAGGACTCGTCAATGCTGGTGGGGACCGGGTCGATGGAGGCTTTCACGTCGATCACCGTGATCCCTTCTCGGAAGACTCTGGCTTTGCCCCCAATGCTCTGGATGCAGCCCATGGCACACAGCACCGCCCGGATCTCCAGGGAAGGCCAGCAGTCCCAGCAGAAACCGGGCATTGAAAGGGTGGAGGCCGCGCGACCCAGTGCGGAGGGACAGGCGATCCAATCTCAAAGCGCAGGGCGGATATCCATAGGACAGAGAACAGCTCACCGAGCCCGGGGCGCTGCCTAGCACGACCGCGGGCCTGTTTATAAATAAGGATTTTGCGGCATCTCAAGAGCCCTGGGCTCTCGCTCTCTCTTCACTTAGTTGTGGACAAAATCACCAATATTCTCTGAGTTAAAAAAAAGAAAAGTTTGGAGTTTAATGGACCAGCATGTTGTTCTGTGTCTGTCTCAGGGACGGCTGCTCGGGTCGCCTGCCGAAGTCTTTGGGAAAGCAGCGAGACGGGCTCAGTCCCCGCGGTCCGTGGCGCGGCCACCTTGGTCGCAGGCGCCCGGCTTCCTCCCCTCCGCCTTCGGCACGCGCTGCCCGGGCACCCGCGCCCGCCCGGT